GCTCGTGATCATTCCGAAATTAGCCAGAAACAAACTCTTATTAAATTCTAACCACAAATTCAACTGTAAATTATTGGCTGTTTTCTCTCAGTCTCGTCGTTTGTGAGCTGATATATAGACAGTATTAGTATATTATAATTCGAAGATAAGTATGTCAACTGTTGTGAAGCAGGATTAGCGATGATGTAGTCGGAGTGGCTAATGCCAAATATAGTCTAGGAATTTTGTTCAAGAGCTTTTTATTTCGTTGAGAATTGTATATATGTGCAGCCGAACCGACCATTTGCCTCTTTCATGCTTTTCGGGCTAATTTCACAGAATTTGGGGCGTCATGCCTCTGACACACCCCTAACGTGACCCTGCTGAAAGTGGCCCCATGTTTTTCATATCGTTCCCCCGCATTCTGGACAGTCGGGCCAAGTGAGGTAAAAGACATGCTCTCTCCTTTCAATTTAGGTAAACGTCGTGGTAAACATGATCCACGCACTTGGCTTTCACGCTTCGGTTTTGGAAAGTAATATGTAAATATTGTTTATTACGGTCATTTCCTTCAACAAGACGGTGCTTGCACATACGTACCTTGCATGTTTGAGTGACAGTTATAAAAAGTGACGTATTCAAATTCTCGTCTATGCAATTTTATTGAAACCAAACGATTACATATAACTTGTACTTATAGTCTTAAAAATCGTAGCTAGCATGCAGCAGTTCCAGGAGCTTCTTATTTTTCTTCATTTTTTGGATGGCTGCACTGGCGACGGAGTTTGGCTCTTGCGATGGTTTCTTCATCGGGAGGATCCTGAGTGAAGGTATCAGACCCAACCAAGGTTGATTCCCAATCATCTTTGGGAGGCGTTTGGCGGGTCAGCAGCCACGTAGTCAGAATGACTGGTTTTTCGCAATGCTCGTTCATGTGTCCGGACCAAGCGCAGGTGGAATGAGCATTAAGAAGCTTGTTTTGGTACGATACAACCCATCCTAATGTGTCTCCATCAGTGTCGAACCTGCCAACAAGGTCATATTCCTTCTCGGCCTCACCAACGGCAGAGTTATACTTTCCTTTGAAGGAACCTTTAACTTGGTCCCAGCTTGTCACGGTCATTACAGATCCAAGCTCATTGTACCACTTGACTGATTGGTTGAAAAGATACCTCGAAAGGACTGAGAAAAGAAAAAAGTTTGTATGTAATTTGTATGTTGGCTTCAGTGCGAGTTTGTTGGTAAATTTCGTACTCAAAAGCGCAACGACTACGCACAGAATAGACATATACCAGAAACCTCAATCTTTATATTTTGCTAATGTTTTCATGTCCGAAATTTGTCATTCAGTGTCACTATGCTTGCGTTTACTCGCGTATTTGGCTTGTGTTTGGTGGCATCACACTCTCAAAAAATTTCGGACGCCAAATGCAAAGAGTGAGGCTTCTGGTTGAATGTTTATTCTGTAGACTACGTCACTACGAGTTTTGTCTGATGGCGTGAGCAAACAAGGCGCGAAATTGACGAATCTCGTACTCGTAGTCGTTGTCGCTGCTAAACTACTCCCTTTTGACTCAAACGATCTGGTAAATCGTCTGATACAATCGTCTTGGTTTTGAAAGAAATTTCTCCCAAAATGGTGGCATTTCGTCATCGTGAGAAAGGCTAATTTAAAAATACTGCTAAGTTACGAGAGAGGAAAATACCGTACCGAGAAAAAAAAGTATATAGTGGCAACAATATATGTTAATTTGTATTTATATTATACATTATATGCTTGTATATCAGTTTAACAATCATACTATAAGCTCGAATTGTATTTTGCTGACTTAGCTAATGGAACCAGGCGAAACCAGTGACATAGTTATTCAATAATATAGGCCTATAGCTAGAACTTTAGCTATAATAAAAGTAAGCAAGTTTTTATTAAATTGAGACTTGAGTTACCAAAACGTTTTCCAATGGCAATGGATTCATATTCGGATAGAAATGTATACCTGCATTCAACATGCATTATCGTGTATAGTTGATATTGATCACGTTTCTCTTAAGACTTGTATACGATCGATTTCCGCTCTGTGCCTGAAATTCAAATTTAATCAATTTTGCCTACCTTTCGAGACATTCATTGCAGCAGCACTCATTTTTAACAAGTATTATCAATTTCTTTCAATTATTTAAGCCTTGGTTAATTCGTCACGAAAATAAGACAATCATATATCATGCAACTCGTCGTTTAAAGATCCGTCGCATTTACGTCATATACTTATACTTAAGATTAAGAGTTTGCCAAAATTCATTAGAATTTCTAATCGGCAGCAAAGCTTTCCAGGAAGAAACAAATAACGAAGCAAACGTTTCCTCGCCACGTAGCTTATATAACATGGTATTCCTTAGCATGTTCTTTCATAAAATTAATGTAATGTTAATCTATATACTTTTTCATTTCTTAATTGTTTTACTCGTTTTGGCTTTTTTCCTAGTTTTAAAGATTCGGACTTTTCTCATTCCATTCATGCCTGTTTCAACCTTCCCCATTCCCTTCGACGATTTTCCGTTCCTGGTTTTAATGATTCCCAATAGTCTCGAAGATCGCATTACACGAGTGAATCATGCACCCTATATATATTTTACGGTATAAACCGGAACCGCAGTTATTCTAGAATTTTAGAATTTTATGGAAATGTTGAATTTCAGCTTCAGTTGCAACTCGGGTCGAAGAACGGACTAATGCATGTTTAGACTCTTTGTATCGGCGCTTTTTAACCTTACCTTAACCTTAGGTTAAAATACGTCTAGATCTATACTATAGTTGTACAAAGTAACTGAAATACAAATTTGTGCAATCAAAAATTAATTATGGTTTTGGAATTTTAGGAACTTTTTCAGCACGACTGTACATTAATTTCATTCATGCATGTAGCTATGTTGTTAGATATTTCGGTTGGGCATTTTAAACGGACGTTTGAAACTGAAAACGGTTTAGTGATGAGGGAAAGCCGCTGTGTTTCAGTTATATACATCTACTTTTATTTATCATTATATCAAAACATGTTGGCATGGCCGTTCTTAGTTGGTGGAGTGATTTGTCTGGTTAATTCCGTTAACGAACGAGACCTTGACCTGCTAAATAGTCAGACGATTCGCGAATCGCTCTCGACTTCTTAGAGAAACATGTCAACTTCCTAAGCAGGATTATATCGCACTAATTCTGAGCCATCCACTTATGCCATGACATGTGGCTTAGCCTTAGGTATACGTGCAGTTTTGAGAATTTCAAGAACGTTTGCTCTTCCGTAATGCATGTAATGAAGGTTTTCATATATTTACGCCTTTTTTCGCGCCAGCTCTTTAAATCTGCTTTGCGTCCTAATGAAAAGAGTTCTCAGTCGCAACTTGTTCCTTCAGATTTTATGATAGCGGAAACGCACGCAATCGACTGATTCATGAAACTTCTAGATTCGAAATATATGATAATATTATCATATATGCCTGTTGGTGCATGCCACTAAAATATGAGGATGCCACGCTAGGGAGAACACAATATACCCAATCACTACGGCATTTTAAATCAACTCCTGAGACCGAAGATATCAACATAAATCTAGAAAAAAATTCACATTAACATGAAGCCGACCCACACGCTTCGATGTATGGCATCGAAATCACGTTAAATATAGCATTCGATAGTAGTATTCAATAATTTTACCTACCTTTGGAGACATTTTTTGCAGCAGCGCTCATTTTTAACAAGTAAACTCTTCGATTGCTCAGGGCTTGGTCTATTTGTCACGAAGACTATCATATTACATACATAAATCACCCTGTAACCGGAATCGGTTCTTCTAGAATTTTAGAATCCTAGAATCGTGAAATCGTGCATGTAATATCAGCTCCAGTTGCAACTCAAGCAAAGCAACATGGCTGATGCATGTTTGGACTGATTGTATCACCAGTTTTCAAATTTGTCCGAAATGTACCCTCCCCAACAATCTCCAAACTGCTTTAGCAAAGTATATTTTATCTTTTCTAAATATGACACACATTCCGGATTATTAATCAGTTATAGCGACCGATTTCGCACAGTATAAGACACGTAAAGCCGCTATCATTGATTTGCCGTAAGTGTGGATTCTTAAATTATTGAAAATGGGTTATCAATGTAATAACCGACCATGTTGCGCCGTTAAGGCCCTGTTACACGGTGCAATTTTTCTTGTGATCCTGACACTATCAGTTACTTGGATTCAGGTCTGCATCACGTGAGCATGCTTAGTCCGGACCTGACCACCCGAAGTCTGCACCATATCACACTGACACAACTGTTCATTAGAGGTAACCTAACTGTGCTTCCGTTTGAAAAGGGGTGCACCATGACCCGAAAAAAAAATTCTAACTAACGGACTACTTTTCTTGCTGGCGTTAAATACGCCAATGGCTTCCTTGCGTGCTCATCCCTCGCTATATCCGCTCCTTTCCAGAGTTATGAGCCTCGTCCCAGGCCTCTCACTGCCCTTGTATCCAGTCCGCGTGCGGTTCCTGCTATCGGATTAACCTTTCGAAATTCTCTTTCGAAAATTTTATAGATGTTTTATACGATGGTTTTTGGGGAAAATGACTATACCATGCACGATATATTTTTTGCTCATCTGGAGTGTGAAATTGTTACTGGTCACACACGTCACAGCGTCACACGTCCGCGCTACAAAGAAAAGCCAGTTCAGTATATAATATGCTGCAGGGAACGCACACGACAACATTAGCATTCGTTCACACAAGGTCAGGATAAGGTCAATGTAACCTTTGGTTGCTGCGTAACCTCATTTAAATTATGTTTATTTTGTAACCCTTGGTTTTTGTATGATTTTGGGAATAATTGCACTCCTATTCGTTGTATTGCCGTACATTATTAATCTAACCCCGGAAATACAACGCAACTGTAAGTTGAAGTTTTAAAACAACCTTGCCCAAACTGGGTTACCGCTCAGGAGGCCAACATTCTCGGTATATTAATTATTGTTTATTTTACGACATATTCTGAATAAATACAAATTAAGCTATATGATTATATGAAAGCATTAGGCTGTTTTCACGATAAGTGCAATTAAATTAAGAAGACTAAAATAGATAAAAATTGTGGTCTGACAAGCAGGCAAAAACTATTAAAACAAATACTACCAAGACTAGTCAGCTTCTCCTCGCCTCTGCGTAGGTTTTACAGTCTTTACTAAATCAGTTACCTTAAATATATGATTTACTCAATGCATCATGAAAGGACTTTTTTAAAATTCCTTTTAAATATTGTTTACCGTTTTCAGGCATTACATTTTTCTGTGCCCTGCTATGTCTATAAAGATGACGAACGTACAAAAACGCTAAAAATCTTGGCACGAACTTGCGTACAATTTTATCTACACTGAAAAAAATCATAGCTATAGCTTGCGCTCGTTGCCATCAAAGTGTGCAAATGGGTTTTCAACGTTTCGTTTCGTACCCATTTCCTATACAATTTATACCTTAATTGTTCGGATTGCCGCTCTTACGACGCGTAGTTTAGCTCTTTCAATAATTTCTTTGCTCGGTGGATCTTGAGTGAATGTATCAAATCCGACCATGGTTGATCCCCAGTCTTCTTCGATAGGGGTTTCGCGAGTCAGCAGCCACGTTGTCAGAATCAATGGTTTATTAGAGTGCTCTTGCATGTGTCCGGACCAAGCGCAGGTGGAATGAGCATTTAGATGCCTATTTTGGTATGAAACCACCCATCCTAATGTGTCTCCATTTGTGTCGAACCTGCCGACCAAGTCGTATTCTTTCTTGGCTTTTCCAACGGCAGATATGTACTTTCCTTTGAACGATCCCTTAACCGTGTCCAAGCTTGTCACGGTCATTACGGATCCAAGCTCGTTGTACCATTTGACTGATTGGTCGAAGAAATACCTCGAAAACACTGAGAGAAATAAAAATAAAAGTCATTTTATATGAAATTAGTCTTGAAACATTGCAGTTCCAACAGAATACGAAAGCGAAAAGTGTGCATGTATATAACAATAATTAATATTCACTGGTGTGAAATAAATAGGTAGGGTCGCAGCTCCTCGCAAGAATGATTTTTACTGGCTGAACTTTACAATACATTTCTGTTCTAACCAATAGCATAGCTTCGTTCTTTAGAAAGCATAGAAAACCATTATCCAATTGGACGAAAGCTTCCGAGCACTGCGACATGTCTCAAATAAATGTGACAAATATACCATGAGCTCGAGTCGTAAATTGCATGAGATCACCTACAAGGCGAAGGCAATGCAAGTTGGCTATCATCTATATAATTGTTTTATGGTAACCTGAACTTTAAGGTAGTAAAATTATGCAAACATGTGTTAATTAAACCAATTCTCACTGTATTGCCGGCCGTGTTTTCACTACTCAACGTAAGCTAATATACATGCAGGTAGTAGTTCAATCAATAGTTTGGGTAAGCGAATGGCTAGTATTTATGGATCGAATAGAAATTAGAAAACATTTCCCATGTTGGGAGACCAAGAAATAATCAGTGGGAAAACGAGCCCCTAAGTGTTTCTAACAACTGTATAAATTATAAACACAGGGAAAATGCTTTCTATATTTTTATAAAATAACTCAATAAAAAGATTTTGTATCCGATCAATTTCGGTGGGAAAATTTCCGTGTTTCTATACAGCTGTTATAAAAACACAATTCCTGTTCAATAAGCAATCGCGTACTAGCTATAAATTTTACATTATAAATTACAGTAGCATATAATATACTAGAGCGCGTGCTTAGCATGCACCATGCAGGTAGCAGGATCGACGCCCGTATCCTCCAAAATTTTACGCTTTGGATCTCAAATCATTCATCAGAAAACCGTTGCTTCGCGTTAAAGGCTTTTCGTAATATTTCTAAAATTAATATGATTAATCAATAATGAAGTTGGCCGTTATCAGCCTTCGATAGCTCAGTTGGTAGAGCGGGGGACTGTGGATAAGTAAGCAAACATCCCTAGGTCACTGGTTCAAATCCTGTTTGAAGGACAGTTGCATTGAAAAGTTTTTGAAAAATATTTTACCTGCCTATGTCAAATTGACATACTGGCAATGGAGTAGAAATTTATTAAATATATGTATGCATATTTATTATAACCTGATATTTTGAAATTGCACAGTTTGCTCCGTTGTTGTGTGCAGCTAGGGAACTAGGTGGAGGTTCGAAAACGGCTGAAGAATATATGAATAGTCGTTTTCAGCTGTGTGCCGAAATAGCTCAGGTGGGAGAGCGTCAGACTGAAGGTTTGAATGTCCCTGGTTCAATTGCGGGTTTCGGCAGGAAATAATTTATAATATTTTGCCGGTTAGCTTTATATGTCTGCAAAATTTTGAGAATAATGCTTTCATTTTGCGGTTTTGCCAAAAAGTTTGCGTCAGTAATCAAAAGTTAAAAATATCAAAATAGATATGCGTCATTGTAACAATGGATTTCAAAGTATTTCGGCAGCTACGGGGGATTAGCTCAAATGGAAGAGCGCGCGCTTTGCATGCGCGAGGTAGCGGGATCGATGCCCGCATCCTCCATATTTTTTCCCTATCCGCTCAATTAAAAAAACACATTAAATTCTCGAAAACGCAACTCAACTTTATCAATCTTCTTTTTAATAATCTCCATCAAACGTGATTCTTCCTATCCTTGTCAGTATTCGTGTTTTACAGGAGTTCATTATCAATTGTGCATATATTTTGCGATGTTATTTATAATCTCTATGATCCTAATCGGGAAACAGCCAATGAAATGGGCAAATATTGTTACCATAGCAACTAAATCATGGCAAGCCGCAAGTATTGACTGGCGAAAAAAGGCGTAAAAAATTTAAACTAAGTGGTTTTTCGGGTATGTTTTTTTATTTTAACAGTCTCTTAGCCTTTTCCACAAAGGTTTTCACACATTTTAGCCGTAATTTCACAGCGGGCCGGATGCATTTCACAGCGGGCCGGATGGAAAATTCCTGCCCGCTGTTTAACGCTTCTCAGCCAATCAGATTGCTTTATTTACACTGTAAAAAAATAAGCGTCTATATATATCTACTCGCGTCATTTTGCATACAATTGCAACATTTCCATAGTTACATTTTCTGAAGTATGTCTTGTTTTCAATCGCCCCTGTTTTGAACTGGCGACGATATAAACTATTTGTTCTGAGGAAAGCTATATAAACTTGTGATTGCTTTACTTAAATATATGGTCAAGCTTAAATTCCCAAAAATGACAAAAAAAAGCCCGACCGGGAAGATTCGACATTAGGTTTCCTATGACTGCTTTATGCCAATATTGCAATTTCGAATGTCACGTCAATATCAACAGTTGTGAATTTAACTAGATGCTGTTTTCTTTATTAGCAAAATTTAAAGTTTTCACGTTGAAAACCTTGAAGTGCGGTGAAGAAAGAAATTTTGAAATTGTTTGAGTGGCGCGTTATAAAATTGAACATATTATTGTAGCGTGTTCCATGGCCACATAGCCATGATTAATCGCATACTATCGTATTAAAGAGAAAAATTATACATCAGATCTCATACAATATAAATATTTAGCTAGTCAGAATATATACCTGCTTTAGATAGTTTCCTCGCGGCACTCATTTTTTCAGCTCTCAAATGGTCCTCAAACTTTTCTCAGGTCTTGTCAAGGCAATGTGAAAGTGAAACACCAGTTTGCGCGTCTATCAACAGTAAGATCTGCAGTAAAACAAAATTAACCAATCAGAAGATGTTATTTTCTCGAACAACTTCCTTTCTGCGTAAATTGTCCTAAAAAGTCGTTATTCGTGGAATTTGCAGGTGCTTAGTATGTTCTCGCTCGCATTTCCGGAATCTAATAATATCTCTGTGTCTATACATATATTTATGTTAACACTGCACCGCCTAATAAATTAAGGTGATCTTGTACAAAAAAATGGTACTTTTTTATTTTTAAAAGTATACTGAAAATATTTTCATGCCATATTCCAAGCCAAGTTGCTCTGAGTGAAAAAAGACCCTTTTCAATCCCTATAGTTCGCCAGACCATATTACCTTACGACTGAACGAAATGAAACATTTTCAGTAGGTTCACGTCCGACCCAATTGCCTTCAAAGTCAGCCTACCAAGTTAGCTTTATTAATTTTTGAGTTATCGTTCCCCAAAATAAGGGGAATGAGAATTTTAGTTTGCTAAGAAAAGCGGCAAAAAAAAGTTTTGCATATATTCGTAAATTATAGAGAACAATACAATAGAACAATGAAACAATGGAATAAGCCAATCGACCCCCTTTTGTTTGCTCGGGGTAAAACCCTAATTAAGTAAAACTTTTCGTTTATTTCTCGCGTTCTTTGTATATTTTTTTGAGAAAAAATATTCCGGATCTATTAGGGAGACATTTAAGTTTGCATCCCTTGAAAAGGAAAGTTTTCTTGTTTCCTTACAGTCATACTACATTTCTATCAGTCCGATGTAAATTAATTTATTATATTCATTTTGAAATCAATGGTGTTTCTTGCAATCTGATTGGTTAAAAATAGTGTGATTAATTCCCAAATCGCACTATTTTTGAGCATTAATCACATCATTTACAAGCCAATAAGATTGAAGCTCTGCACCATAATAACCAATCAGATTTAGTATTTCAGTGTAACTATCTAATCAAATTACAGGGGAAAATGGAACAAAATTTTATTAATTTTCTTGTATGATTGCATGGCGACTTTAGTAATTATAATAACTTGTAGGTACACCACGTAAGTATTAAATACTGCAAAGCTTTCGGTCCGTTAACCCGGACCTTCATCAGTGCAATTACTTGAATACACGTTTGCGCGTCACTTAAATATCATGTTAGAAACCGTTTAATTAATAGCGCGAGCAAACTAATCACGACTAACATGATATTTAAGTGACGCGCAAACGTGTATTCAAGTAATTGCACTGATGAAGGTCCGGGTTAACGGACCGAAAGCTTTGCAGTATTTAATACTTACGTGGTGTACCTACAAGTTATTATAAAATTTTATTATTTTGAATTTTTAAACGCCCCGCAAAATTTCTTGACAAAAATAAGAAAAAATTACTCACATTTTACACCGTTTACGGTTCTTTTAGCCAATAAATCGTTTTGAATTTGTTTAATCTTTTGTATGATTTCAAAATGAATATAATAAAGTGGAAATTGCACTTCGTAGTCGTGCAATTTTGGTGTGAAATCAAACTTTTAATTACAAATCGCACTCCCGCTTTGCGGTCGTGTGATTTTGTAATCACGCGTTTGATTTCACACCAAATTGCATTCCACTCAGTGCAATTACCATTATTTGTAGTATATCTCAAGGTGATCTCTCTCACGGCCGGCTCTGAAAATAGATTAAACTATTGAAACTAGTCGAAATTTTGTAATTATGTTTAGATATGAGAACTATAGCTCTGACATAAAGTTGAAATGGAGATAAAGTAGCTACAAACGTAGTTACATTTCACTCCCGATTAGAAATTTGGCCTCTATAGCTTTATCCCAATATTAACACGCAGCGTTTCAAGGCCACATTTGTAAATCCATTAATTTTCAAGTATGATTTAGTGTAGTTTCTAATTTAGTGTAAATTTCCATTTTCAAGTGTAACAGAAGATATGTACCTTATAATAATGAAAAGACTTAGTTTAGGTCAGGCTGGGTTTAGGAGATATATAGAATTGGTAGTTATACAGAAAGCCTTTATGGTCTTAATTGGTCTTAATTGGTCTTAATTGGATCTGGGGAACGCATTTGTGCGCCCGCACTAATATGTTTTTGCGGTGTCAATAAACATTGAACTTGGTTTAAGCCTCACAGAGTGTCAGGTATTAAATCAACCATATTCACCAACAATCGATCAAATTATTGGTTGCACCCGATAATTTAGATTGAATAGTAATATATGGTGCAAGAATAAACTATAAAGGATGAAGAGCGCAAAGGCAATTCAAGTTTTGGCTTTTGGTGGACCAGAAGTGTTGCAATTTCGTGATGTACCTATTCAAAATGTAGGCAAGGGGCAGGTATATATTTAGCTAAGGTTACTGTTTTATATAAAACAATCATCTGGAAAAATTGTGCATTACCAGACCCCAGTGTTTAGTCAATTCGCTAGAAACAAGTGAACATACAATCTTATGTTTTTTATGACATTTTGTCTGACATATAAATGTAACAATTAGTTGGTGAAGTAGGCCATTAGAGGTTTTTGTGTTTAGCTGGTAGCCTGGTACTACATTATAAACACATTTTTGAACACCATGCGATGTAACGTAGTTTCAGGAGATATATCATGTTTTTGAATTACTTAACTGGCCACATTGGCTAATAATTTAGAAGCATGCCAGATAATCTGTGTGTAAATTAATAATCATGCATGTAGACTTTTCATGAAGGTCTAATACCATAAAATGTATATAACTTAAGAAATTGTTTATCTGGATGATGAAACTATAGATACAAATTGATAATCAATCTTAGTCCTGAAATGACTCTTCAAATCACTTGCCACATTATAGACATAGCACTATAGTTGCCATTTGCCCATTACCAGCCAATACTTATACTCAATATACATTCTGACTTTTCTAAAAGAAGTAATTCTCATCTAGCAACTTGTCATATGTTATGAAAACTATTTGCTATAAACTTAATTATTTGCCATATATACTCATGTATGCTGCTGGCTTAAGATAAGATAAGATAGAGTTTTTTATATTCTAGCTACTGTATGTAACGGTATTACATAAGTTTTTCCCTGAAAAAAACCATTAGTTTGTTTATGGATTAAAAATAAATTCACTAGCCTTACAGAATCTGTGGATTCTCTTAAAACATGTACACCATGTGGTACAGCTGTGTGTTAGGGTACCGATTAGGGTAAGATTAGTTTTTGAACTTTGAGGTTCTTGTCAAGCTATTTGCTGCTGGTGTGAATCCTGTTGATACATATATCAGGAGTGGCACATATGCTAGAAAACCAACATTGCCATATACTCCAGGAGCTGATGGTGCCGGTATTGTAAAAACAGTAGGAGAAGGTGTGTCAACTTTCAAGGTGAGACATTTTACCAGGCATTGCTATGTACAATCGATCACATACAGGTAGCCAGCCCTATAGTATGTATTATATGTATGCATGTATTGGGCATGGCGATTATATGTATACATGTATTATATATACATGAACCTCATTTTTGGGTAATACCGGTATGGCGTTTTAAAATTTTTGAGGTTGCATGATACAAAGTATTTAATGAAAGTAATTCAATCTCTGTGCACACAAAAAATGTATTTAAATTTGCGATCTTTGGAAGGCCATATATTCCACATGTTATAACATTTTGCCACCAAACTTTACAACTTGTCTATTCTCTTAATGCGTCTGATGAGCGAAACTGCTCAGTTTAATTAACCTTAGCATTGTTGATTGTTCATCCTACACATTGTGTGACTATATTACATATATACATACAGTACGGCCAATATATTCCGTCAACCAGGTTGTTTGAAATTATACCTAGTCCTAGGTTTTTCAATTTCTGGCAGGAAGGTGACCGTGTGTACGTGCATCACGCCAACGGAACATACGCTCAATTTGCTGTTTGTGATCAAAAGAATGTAAATCGACTTCATCCAAAATTGACCTTCAATCAAGGAGCGGCGCTGGGAGTCCCATATCTCACTGCTTATCGGGCTTTGTTTCACAAGTAAGTTAATATACATAATATTTTTTGGGTAACCTGTCAATGGGGCAATAAAGTTCTGTAGGGATCACCAGTCACATTTGACAAAGATGGTAAATAAATAAATAAAATAGATATAAATATGATAGAGCACTGGATCTCGCCTTCTTAGTGATGATTGTATTATATATGATCGGAACTTTCCTGTTATTCTGTGGTCTGTACGATGCCCGTTTAATTTACAACGTTCTTATAGCTACTGAGTACTGTATGTCAAAATTTTCAGCTTTATAAAATTATTCTTATTTTACTTTCTTCTGATATTCTGAAAAATTCGTTTAAAATTTTTTTACGTTTTCAAGAATATATGCATGCGCTTTGAAATTTGTTACCTCAGATTAATTTATTAGACCAATTTTTTATTGGTTAAAATAACTAAAAACGTGGTTAAAACAACCATAATTTTTAACTTGATTTAACAATCCTTTTTATAAAACTAGGAATGCGAATTAGTTTAATTTCAAAATGCGTTCAAAGTAGTCAAAGTAGCTAAATTTAAAAAAATTCCCTTTTAAATCACATTTAAAGACTTAAAGTATATAGACGAGATAGTCTTAGAGTTTCATTTGACTCTCGTGGTAGCATTAATATTGCTCAATGTATTTTCAAAATATCCCTCGTAATTTAATTTCTATTGTTTTAATATATGTAACTCAAAAACTATAAAATGCGATGTTGACGGGGATTCAAGCATTTGATATCGCGAGGTACTTTCAAAATTCGTGAAAATATCGACAAAAATCGGCTATTAAATTTTAAAATTTGAAAATACTTGCCACTTCCCTTGGAAAGTTTTTATATTAACTTGAATGATTTTAACTTTAACTGTAGGTAGGCTTTACCATTGCAAACTTATACTTTGAAAAATAAAAATTACACTAAAAGAATTATTCTTAGGGATAAAATAAAGTATGATATTCAAGAAACCTTAGAGAATTGCGCGAAGAAATCGTGTCTGCTTGTGAATCTTGGATCTCTCGAGCATGAAGGTTCATTCAGGCTCAAGGACACGCTTTTCCTGATAAGTAAACTGTATATTTGTTAATCCTTTGTAACTAAATGAAAACGCATTATTTTACAAAGAAGAAAAATAATCTAAAACTATAATCTAAGCCTTAATTCGGTTTTATGCTAATTCTCAACATTTTCAAAAATGGTAGTTCAAATTTGATTTTCAATTGCTCCAACAATATCGCACGGATAAATGCGTTAATGTTTTATAAAGTCAGCCCTTTCTACATGCAATTGGTTACTGTATTTTTTATTTTGCCTGCTTTTATAGCTTTTACGTTACCCGCGGTATATAATATCTACTTTCTTTCGCATTATTTTAACCGCAGAGCAGGTTCAGTTGCGCGTCGTGTTTATGCGTCATCCTATAATTTTAGAAATCATGCAAAAATAGACCTGCTTTATCCGGGTGGTAGATTCGTCCAGATAGTTTAGAGCTTTTATTTTAGATTTGTCCATGCATGCAGCTTCAATTTGGTTTTCATGTACTGTGAGGAGCAAAAAACGACGAATTCAGTGTAAACTCTATGACTATGCATGCATGTATGTTTACTGCCTGAACATAGCTATATAATAGCTATACCCCGGCTATAATTGTTAGCAGCAGAATAGTATTTTTGCAACCAAAATGAATTTAAACTTTACTTCTCCAAACTGTACTAAGTCGCATTCATTAGTATCCTTCTGTGACTGAAAAAAAAGTCGCTAAAATGTGCATATATATATAGGCGGAATGTCAAACCACTCTAATTCTGTAAGTATAGAAGCGTATTGAAGATTTAGAGGGAGAGAGGCTTTAAAATTTAAGAAATTCTGGTTGCAAATCTTAATTTATATATACAGTACATTATTAGTTACATGCATGTATGCTTTTAAGCAACCTACCCGCGTATAGATTCTTTAACGTGAGTGAACTTGCTTTTTAGTTGCCAATATACTGACTGGCTATTGTGCAAAATGACGCGGATTTTATGGGCTTTTTTTAATCCTCACTTTATACTACCAAATATGGCAAAATGCATTAAACATCCTCAACAAAACAGCTATCGCGTCGAGCATAAAATTCCTCGCTTCTCAGCCCGGCTCAGGCAGGGGAGAAGGCTTTCTCAATCATTGAAGTTGATATATTCGGTGAATACAAATAAGAACCTCCCTTGAATGTATACACCCTGTGGTGTTTTTCGAGAAGAAAAGGCTTTGCACTGAATAGATTTGCATTTTTCGAACGTATGATTTTCACAAAGGATTATTCCTCGATCTTTTCTGTTTGTGTTCAATTCTCCAGTGGCAAAGTTTACTTCCCTCTACACAATTCGAATGGGATCCGATGCAATAGAATATCATAACAAACTGTTTGTTTATACATTTTGAACTTCTATGCTGCAAACTACACGACGTGCTGCCGTCTGAATATCTTACACCATGCTTTTAGATTCGCTACGCTTCTAAATATGTAAATATGGATTAGAGGTTTTCGGAAAATTTCGAGACATACATGAAATTTTGGCAACATTTTATGCGCAGATGCGCAGAACGAACTTGAATGTACAATGTATTACGCGGCATGTTAAATTCTGTAGCGACAAGTATTTTTGTTTTTTTATTGAACAAGAGGGTTTGGTATATCGACCTATACGAAGAGCTTTGATATTGGTTTTTATTATATGGCACATGGTCTCGTGACTAAAATGGCGTGCGCTGATTGGTTCTTTGTCGGTCTGGAATCCCCCAGTATTAGACCGTTGCCGTAGTAAGTAGTAACGGTTCAACTCTCATATTTCTGAACAAAAACAAGCTTGCACTTTTATTTTTGACGCGAAAAATATCGACGGAGAACGGACGAGGAAGAGCATTATTTGGTACATGTGAATATTATATTTATTCATCTTTGATTTTTGTTTATATTACTGTATCATTCTTATTTAACGAGTAAAAAACAAAGTTTTGGAAGCGACTTCAGTGCTTGTTGGCGACTGGCTGGCGAAAGAGCCGGCAAAAATGCTGCAGCGCATTGTAGAAATAAATAAACTAAATACTATATGCCATATAATAAATCCCTTATCAACCGAATACGTTCGGTCCGTACTGGAAAAATATCAGACCTCGGTCTTTTATGTACGGACCTCGCTATCGCTCGGTCCGTATACTGTCAAGACCTCGGTCCGATATTTTTCTAAGTACAAATCATAAACACTGTTCACTTTTGTTACAATAAGCCAAGCACAAAACTCGATCATATCAGATAGATAGGCTATAAATTATGTACTCACTGGGCAACAGGTTCTTCAATTTCAATATTTGAATCAGAATGTCGTTTTTGACGTTTTGATAAGTTTGCTGGCACACATATACATTGTTGTGTAAAATCAAAATTGCCAATGTGTAGTATGATGTCGACCCAGTCAGTTATATTTTGAGTATGGAACAAATAAATTGAAAGTTGAATATTTTGCAAATGAAAACACATTACCAAGAGGGTAAAAGAAAGTTCGTCAAAAGTCTGCTTTGTCAGATACGCGGTCCTTTATAATTTATATCAGCCCCTATAGACCTAGAATTACAGGGTCTTATAAGAATTATATGGCCCTCGCCATGCAGTTATGGATTTCATTTTACTTTCCTTTTAAGAATGAACGTGAAACCACAAGAGACTATATTTATACATGGTGCCAGTGGTGGAGTAAGTATTACTCACAGCTTACTATTGTTGACTTTTTCTCATCCTCTCGCAGGAATATATGATTTTGGTGATTGGTACAACGGTTACTACAAGATATTATTTTAAACTCAATTTCTCCTCCACCTCCCCAAGTGTTTTTGTTTTAAGAAGCTATATGTATTTCTAGTTACAAGCAATAGTGCTTTGCGAGTTGAGCTGGGGGGGGGGGGGGGCGGTCAGGCAAACGGGGTTATCGGGCTAAAGGTTGCGATATTGATTTTAAAAACTTCATATTTTGAAGGTCGGTGTGGCGGCAGTACAACTTGCCAGAGCTCACGGGATGCGCGTTCTTGGCACTGCCGGAACCGAATTAGGAAGTAAGGTTGTGAAGGAAGCTGGCGCTCACGAAGTATTCAACCACCGGGAAAGTGGCTATTTAGACAAAGTTATGGTGAGGATTGCATCATTATACAAAGTTGTGCTCGCATTTTCTCTCTATGATTTATTTTTCCTGCACGTCCGTGCTGTTCAGTAAGGGTTTTAGCTGGGTATACATGATGTTGTAGATGATATTTGACACGGTTTAATGAAGCTCCACAACAAATGAAGCCATCCTTATCAACTGAATGCACTTTTTTCTAAAAGACAGCGACTGAAAACCGAGGTGCTGATGTCATTTTGGAAAATTTGGCGAATGTGAACCTGGAGCATGATTTGAAAATTGTGGCGGACCATGGCAGGATAGGGGTAAGGGAAACCGCTTGACAAACAGAGATTGTTTGCTGGCTCAATATTGTTTAGATTATACTGTCATGAAGAACGAATGAACAAAATGGAAACCTAATTATTGATAAATATAAACTACCAGTACCTATAGACCAAGGTATCTAAAACCTTCTATGTATACTAAATGCTGATGATGGTTTCAGGAAACAAAGGTAGAAATAGAGTAGGTACTAGTGTCGCAGCTCCTCGCAAGAATGATTTTCATTGGCTGAACTTTACAATACATTTCTGTTTCAACCAATAGCATAGCTTCGTTCTTTAGAAAGCATAGAAACGAATTATCCAATTGGACGAAAGCTTCCGAGGGCGAAGACATGTCCCTAGAAATATACTATTATTAAGACAAACTGAGAACGCTTCGAAAAATTTAGCTCAGGTCTTTCGGCAAGATTTTAAAGCAGTACTTTCACTATTATTTAGGTGTATGTTTCTCTCTTCGTGTTTTAATTCGTGCAAAAATAAAGCGAATCAAGGATGTGCAATTCCCGAACCCTGATATACCCATATGACACCCTTCTCACTGTTGCTGCATTCATATATATATTTACGCATGCAACTCATAACGGGTAACGGTTTGTTTCGTTGCTATATAGGTTGTTGGGAACCGCGGTTCAATTGAAATAAATCCTCGCCTAATGATGATGAAAGAGTCGAGTGTCATTGGTGTATTGCTGCATAAGGCTTCGCAAGTGAGTGCGCGGGTGTTGCTGTATTGCATATCAATTTTGCGCGATGAAATGAAATGATTCGTGGACTATATATCTTCCGCGTAGCTCATAGGCAAATTGAATTTATATTACAATCAATAAGATGTCTGCAAATAGTTATATAGGTTTAGGTTAAAATAATGCCATGTTTCACTAATACAAATTCGCTTATTTCTAGTTTATGTTCCAAGCTAATGCAAATGCATGCCATGTGCCAAAAAATAAACTTTTTTACATCGCTTTCGTTGTCATTATACCGAGAAATATCGAACGGGATTCAACCACTAACTAAAATTTCTCGTCACATGTTAAGACTGAAATTGACGAAGCTGTAACCAAGCTCGAGAAATGGGCGGAGGACGGATTGCTGAAGCCAATAGTTGGCAAAACATTCAAGTTGATCGATGCACCCAAAGCTCATAAGGAGATAATAGAAGGCTCTGCTCAAGGAAAACTTGTGCTGGAAATTGATTGATGTACTAATACTGAATGTGGACACGTCTTCTTTAATGGTAACTGGTAAGTCTTAAGGAAACTCTTAAATGGAAACCAGACAAGTTATGAAGTAATGTTTGCAGTGATCTTTGCAATGCAAAAACATAAACGTACTGTAATGCAAAAACGTAAACATGCATAATTCTTGATGCTTAAATGAAAAAGTACCTTTCTTTGCGTAAGCGGTTAAGAATGAGGCTTTCGCCTTCTACAAACCTCTCTTCGGCTTTTTGAGGTTAATTTTTCTGATATAGTTTTTACTGTCATGCATGTATAGATGAGCTAGTAGATGCTAAAACACATATGCTATGTTATTTACTGCATGGCTACGCCTACGAAGTCCGAATACAAAAAACTGTGCCCGAGCCGAGGACTCGAAAACGGGCGAGGTCGCAACCGAGTTTTTATTGATTTAAGTTTATTGATTTTTGTCAAACGCAACAAAACAAAAAAAATTTAGTGAACAAACTATCAAAATTATAATTTCTATAGGCTAGATCATGTAGTTATACGCGGCATTTTAGAATTTTAATACCCCAACAATTCCTTGATTAAAAGTATATCCTAGTCAGGTATCAGCTAATGAAATGGCAAATAATATTACCATGCATGACAACTAAATCACGGCAAATGGAGGAAAAACGACAACGTAATGACATTCGAAAAAGGCCCGAAAATCCAAAGTAGGATGTTTTAACTGTTTTTATCTTTCTACAGTCGTACGTTGATGTTTCTACAGTCGTACGTTTGTCGTTTTGTTCACAGTAAGCCGGTTGAATTTCACAGCGCTGTGAAAGGCTACTCAGCCAAACGATTGCTAGATGAAATACATTTTTAATTTTTTTTTAAATGATAGTTATCTGGACAATATAAAATCTTCTAGTTCTAATACACCCCTTATATATATATAGTAACTTTGAATAAACAATGTTGAATAAACCAATTCTCTATATATAATTATTATTTTTAAAATTCCGAATATAACTAAGCCATTTATTTATCGTGTTAGCGAATTTCTTCTATATAAAGGAGGCTGATAAGCGAATGTTTTTTTACTATGTAGTTGTAGATGCATGTTTTTCATAAAGCGAACTGCATAAAAATAAGAACTTCCAAATATGCGTGAAAACCTTCAGGTTTGACTTATTGAGCATAGAACAATCTCCCTAGCTCTAGTTGACCTATGCACCCAAATATTTATTACAAACTACAAAGTCCGACGTTTCAAGCAAAGGAGTATGTCTTATCCTTTTCATGAACAATCGCGTCGTCGCCGCTGAGTAGATTTAGAAACGCGCTATTCCTCCAATCGTCCGGCCACGTCACGGACGTCAATTTTTGCAGCCACTTTGGCAAATAATCGTCTGCGACGTTCACCAGCACTGGAATAAAGCGAACTGGACTGTGCTTCATCTTCGTGCTTAGTTCACTCTTGATGTTGACCACCTCTCCATAGAGCCTCTGGTCGTTCAAGGAGTTGAAACAAGGCCTCGAGCCGATGTCCACGGTTTCGTCCAGTCTGCAAAGCTTGAGGTAACCTTGCGTCACGATCATGATGACCTTATCTGCGTGCGCCAGAAATTTCTCGCCAAAGCGTTCAGGACCGAGGGAATTGTACAGCTTGGGGTCGTACATTTGGTCCATAACAACGTTGATGTTGTGCGATTTCAACAACGAATAAATTTCGTTAACTTGATTGATTGTGCTTTTCTCCGGCAAATAAGAAACATAGACCGTCCCTTCGTAGCCTGTAAAGAATCATTTGGCATTAAACCACGTAACCAGAATTGCATGGGACTTGCATGGTACATTTCGTTTGTTTTCGATCGTGCTAATGAAAACAGTAAAAAAACCTGCCGCTGCTCTTCTAAGGCTTCATTCACTGCGCGATTTTGTTTTCGTCACGCGCGGCGCTGAGGCAATGTAATTGGTCAGTGAAAAATTTCGCGCAAAAAATTCGCCTATGGGAGTTCGCGTCATCGCGTGGTGTAGCGGGAAACGATGTGGACTTGTGTGGACTCTGAAAGTGGCAAAAACTTTCTTACTTTTTGAAGTAATTTTGAAATCATTTTTCTTGGGCCTTAAGAACCACTTCACAACCAGGAAAACTGTAGCGATGATGACAACGGCAAACACTGAGAGCGAGAATATCAGAGTTGTTGGCGATATCTCCTCTTTATTGTGAGGTTCTTTTGCTAAAGAAAATAATAAGGTTGTTTACTGATAAACGACGACAATAGGACTACCCACCCCTCCAGCTACCCGGTATTGACGTCATCTATACTTTACTTGCTGTAATTACTGCAATGCAACAACCTTTCGTTTGTTTAAGGCCTTTTGTTTTGACGTATCTAGCTTCTGTTAAATTTACCTGAGTTATTTGCTTCTGGACTTAGCGATTTTGACGACTCTGGAAGAGATACAATTTGGGGTTATCAACAAGATTAGAATTTTAAAGAAGATGATTCATATATCTATGTACATACAGGTCGCATTACAGAGAATATATAGTAGACCCATATAGGAGGATTACGCGTCATGTCCGCTATCACCCTGGCCATGCAATCAACATTCTGAACAACAACATCGTTTCTAGGGTATGCGCTCTGTTAGTGTGGGCCTGGGAAGGAAGTCGGTTGCTGGCATGTCCGCCAGTATAATACTGACAGCTCGATTACATTAAAATGATACAAATTTCCTGATTGGTCTAAAACGAAATTCGTCCCTGTTGCACGGAGGGTGCCGATTAAAACCTCTGCTAAACCTCCGTATAAAGCCGTGTTTACACCACAAGCCTGAGCCTGGCCTAGGCCTGGCTTTGGCCTAGATCTTCCTAGTGTAAACGCACTTTGGCCTAGATCTTCGTGAAACACACCTTGGCCTGGCCTTGTCTGAGCAGATATATCTGTTGTATGGACCAGACGTACCTGTTGTGGATACGTGGAGAGAGGAGTTCGTACTAGGTATAACCAACGTGTCGGTTGGATTTGGTGTGGTAAATATCCAGACGCGTGGTTCTGACAAACTCTCTGCGCAAAGAACATGGAAACAATTAACTTATTAGACGAATAAATTTACATGATCATGCGGTTTTCTAAAATATGAGCATTTGCTTCTCGGTTCAATTTTTACCAACATGTTGAGAGATTTCAAAGATTTCAAAATGAACTTATTAAAAAAATTCATCAAATTGATAATGATAGTGACATTAATATTCATAGTACACATTTTGATAACCTTTGTAAGAGCACCGTAATTAAATTTATTGCGAAAGTGTGCCTTTAAATCATGCATTAATAATAATATATAATAGTAATAATAATATTTATATACTTTACCTGGTGCTGGGGGATCCATGTAAAAAAATTTCAGGTCCTCTGTTGACGTATATGGAAAAGCTTTGACCTAAATGGATTAAGAGACAATGAAACGAGTGTAAATCGCATTTTTGAAAGAAACCTCTAAGACCCAACCACGGGGTAATTATGTTCACTGACTTTCCTTATAGCCTACATATATATAGCTAATAGCTAATTTTCAACTTTGACACTTTATGGCACAAACCATAATAATAACCTTATATATATATATATATTCCTGAGGGAAGATAACATTAGCTTGAATTGTAGACGCATGCATATATGCACGTAGGGGGCGAGCTTGTGCGTGCTTACCTTTACATCAAAACTACTTCGCCCATTAAATCCAGTCGATTCATCCAAAATGATGTAGTCGCTCGTCTAAAAAGGAAAGGATCGATTTACTATAATTATATTAAAATTCGTTCATGGTTTGGAAAGAAAATGTATATATAGCTATATATATGCATGTGTATGACTGTACTAGTTTCTGCATGCATGCGCAGGAATTAATCCTTTGCGATGTCACCCACGGACCTACAGTAAATTAAGTAGGCTGGTATTGTCTCCCCTCCCAGTTTTTGCTAGAACTAATTGTAGCTATTTCGCTTACATTGTTAACCGTCGTACAATAGACACCTTCGAATGTTCTGGAAGCAAACGACCATTGAACAAAGTATCCTTTGCAGTAATCCTTTCTCTTTAAGCATTCTATAAACCGATCAACAAGTTGGTTTTGTTCACAGGTCGACGCCGGAACGATGCAAGGGCACGAGGGGCAGATTTGTGTCCGTATAGAAAAGTAAAATCCTAGGGTGCTTTCCTATTTTGAGCGACCAAAATGGTCAATCCGATCATATTTTGAGTAGTTCATTAATACAATTTCAAGCCGAAAGTGCATGCTTATTCACTTGTTCGTATAGTATATACAAATGTGTACGAAACTCATCAAGTTCTGCAAAATTAAACGTTCTGTCGAGAGTTTTCCACAAAATTCTCTTCAGTGTAAATGGTTGCATGTTTAGTCGTTAGGTTTTATTCTCTGTGCCTAATCGAAATTTTCTGAAACCTGGTATATACGATGATGCCACAGCTGAAATAACTCAAATATAACTCATTATTCCCAAAACGTTTCATTTTACCTGGAAGGGGATCCCATATGATCCTCGCTACCGTCTTGTTTTTCTTATCAAGACTAAAGACAATTTTACGAATTTTCGCTTTTGCTCTCTTGATTCCATGTCTTGGATTCAGGAATTTTTTTGAGTCAAAAGAGCAATCTATAATGACAGCGGAAAGAAAATTAACAAAAAATCATGCACAAGAGTGTCATTCATTTGATCACGATTTGGATCATGCATATATGGAAACGTTTCCAGTCAAACACTGAAGCCGTTCCGTTTACTACATTTCAGCTCGACCTTATATAAATCCACTTTAAACATACCTATATATATTGGCTAGCCTGCCAATCAATTTATATAGCGATTTTTTTTACATTTCCCAACGGTTCCCTTTGGCTATAATATGTTTAAAACGTCGCGATATTTACTTTATTTCAGGCCGCCACTGATTCTCTTCATCTATATGCTTCATGAGAATTAGTTCCAAGTCAAAACGTGACCGTTTTCAAAATTTTCGCTGGGATTATTGACAAACAGGAATAATGTCATGATTTGTATTGATATATCAGACGTAAAAAACATGCACTCTGACTTTCTGCGTTGATAAAATATTTGCAGTAGATCTATACAACGAGCACCATTCGGCATTTACGATTTTTTGCATTTCTCATCCATGTTACCCTTTGACTTTGTTTAAAACGTCGCAAAATTTAACTTATATTTCCGGCAGTTGTTGAAATTAAGCCCTTCCTATATAGCTAGTGATTCATAAGAATTTAGATGTCATTATATCGTTATCGTTATATACGTATATCGTTATATGTCAAAACATTTTTTGTTCTGAACAAGTTAAGCAAGTTGTTAAACAACTTAAGCAAAGGAGTTGCGGAGGCCTCTTCCTTTTTAAAAAACACATAAATTAATGATTGATTCATCTTAATAATGTTATAAAAAATGCGAGTTCCCGACAAAACTAGAACTGTCAAGATGGTGGCAACAGTCAGTCCCCGACGCGTGATTTAATGGGTCGGGCTTTTGCTATAGTAATGTAAACAAGGTATGCATGGATCTTACCATCGTTTCTTTTAATTCTTGACGTTCTTGGAAATCCCTAAAAATGCACGAACAACCGTTAATACCCGCATGAAAAAAAGCATAAAATATTAGAGGGCGCCACCTCAATTATATACTATATAAACTACCTTGAGACTGTTGTCGTCCTCACTAGCTCGTTGGATTCGAGCAGACCGTCCTACAAAGATCAAAACTAATATGAAATTTCATATTCGTTCTGACTCGGAACGGAACAACGTTAAGGCGGGGAGAGGGTGCGTGGATCTTCGTTAAAGGAATTTGTTGATTTTAGGATCATGAATATATGAATATACACTCCCCAATTAATCTTCTAGCGACGGCCCTGACCCCAAGGCTTAGGACCCTATGCACGGTCAAAAATGCTGAATAGAAAAAGCAAACATTCATACCTTCGTTTCGTAATCTGCATCCAAGAATGCATCTTCTACGATCCTGAAGTAATATTAGCAAGGAAAGACAAACTTAATTTCACATACTTGAAGCTTCAAAGGATCGCATTAGGTATAGTGTGAATGTCAGAATTGAATTGGAGAGCTACAGGCGGGACTACGTCCGATTGAATTGCTACAAAAGTCTGAAACGCTGCTGAATTTCAGCATTTTAGTGTCTCAGTCTTCGGGGCCCTTTCCTGAGTTTCATCTTCAAGATTTTTAAGAAAAAAATTCATATTAGGTGATTCTTGATCTGTCAAAATCAGGTCAAAACGCTACAATTTAAAATATGCTGATTTTATTGTTTTAAAATCTTGGTAACGATATGATGATTATGATGACTACGGTTAGTTAATTTAGTTAAAATGGTCAGAGCGGTCTAGAAAAATTATTGGCCTTTAGTTTAGGTCATTTTTAACCCTGCATATTTCAATTGTTGAAAATGTGCCCAATACCACAGGAAAAGAAATGTTCAAAATATAGGACCATGCATGCAGTCTGCACCATTTGCTGCATTCATTTTTATTTTATTTCCCAATTCACGTCTTTTTTAACCTTATATGGCTTTGTTTTGGCTGTTACCAGGGTAAATCCTTATTTTTTGATTGAGGTTTTTCTGGTTTGAAATTACCAGTTGACGACTTGACTGAGATACTATAGTACTTAGACTAATTTGCAGAACGATACAGCCGAAACTTTTCACATCTCGAAAATGACATGTTCACTGCAGTAACAGTTAAATGGTGAACGAGCCTTTAATTGTTGGAAGGGCGCCATTCATTGCTCGATATGGAAAAGCCCGCCTTGTCAGCTACCAATCAAAGAGCGTCATTTAACGAGTTAACACTTGCCATAAATATGTGTATATTGAATCGTCTATTGTGCGCCAATTCTTTAACGCAAATCGTCAGTCATGTGAATGTCTCACTGCGTAATTTAGTCGAGTCAAATTCATAGTGTGATAAAGTCAACTACCTTCCTCTTGACTAAGTGGAGAAAAAATAATACCATTTAAATGCTTCCTATTAATTCTACACAGTCGATGAATACGATTCGTTCACTCAGTGTAAAATTCACCAATTTATCTCACACATATTTTATACACACATTTAAAATTTAAAAAATATCCGGGCATGCAACAGGTACGATGTTTCGGTAAATTCGCCCTTGCTAAATTCTGTATAGTAAAGAAAACTACATATAGGAACATAGATAATGTGTCAATATCATCTTACTTCGACTGCTGTGGCTCGGCAGTTGTAGGAACAATCGGTTCCACCGATGATTACTCGACATTCAATTCCCGACAAAAGGAAGACAATCAAAAACAAGGATTTCTCGAAGGCCATGTTACAACAATTAGCTATATCTTATATGTTTCAAACTGTTGCATTTCATACAGACATACACCTCGCTTGGCACGATCGAATTCGCTGTCACTTGGCCAAAACCACACTTGTGCAACGTGATATTCATTTAAATTCAAGACGAATAAGGCATGGATATTAAAGGTCAAGGGGATTGCAATATAAAGATAATGAATGCCAAATCGAGTCGATTCCGAAGTGTTTCTATATATATTACGACATCCTTCAGCAAATTTAAAGTTTTTCTTCTTGTGAATATGTCATATATTGCAAAGATCGGACCTTGGTATAAATATTCATGTATCGAATCCGTTTATAAATTATAACCCAATAAAATTCTCGAGAGCACATTTCGACAAGTGGTAAACTGATATTAATTAAACGAGCATCCGTTTCAGCATCGCCACGGTAAACAGGATGTCCTGCGCGTCAAAGAAATAGGACGCGATGTACTGCAAAAGTGCTCGTTTCCAAGTACAACTATTTTTGGGTGCATGACTTATTTTCAGAAATCGCTGCACAATTGTAGTCGACCATGGCCTATTGTAGTGGAAATTGGGTTGGTTGCTGCACGCATGCGTCTTGTTTCGGAGAATATTCTTAGATGGATGGCGTGCATGATAGATATTAATATTATCGGATGTCATAAATAAGCTGAAATATGCAGCGAGCAAGCTAAAAGTGCCATAAATCAGAAGCATACATGCATCTCGGAAGATACCCCTAAAGGATAGTCGGTCAGTTCACTTACATTTCCCAGTAACTGCGCTACGCAGCTTTTAACGCACGAAATATCGTCTCCACGAGGTTCTTTCGAATCCATCTCTTGTCCAGCGGTGTCAACCAGCAACGCAGAGAACGTTATTATATGGAAAGCGTGAAGGAAAATCTTTGACTTCAAGAAATACTTCATGCTACAGCTCAGCAGGTCGATCGCCTTACCATCAGATCACTGAAAGTATATGTGGAACACGATCAGTATATAAGACACCTGACACCTGAAGAGCGATAACCTGCATGCGTTATATAAACTGCCATAAACCTTTTTTTTACAATGCTATGATTAACAAGATTGGTGCAGAGCTCTTGCTGCATTCAAAACGGCACTGCGGAAAGCAGTCGAAAACGACGCCGTTTTTAAAAAACCTTGGGCCCTATTTAATTGCACGGGGAACTTAAAAAATAAACGTAATAGGCTTTACATAGTGATCATTATATTGCACGGCCTTGTTCGGTCTTCTCATTATCCATATTACCGATCAAGCTAGTGGACGCTAACAAGCAACAGCAATTGCAACTGATGCATAAAATATATAGAAAGTTATCTTCGATGCAAAAAATGTAAAGATGGTAATCCTGAAAAGCATGATCGAAACGTAATTGTGACATAATTCGTCATGATTCGTCGTATGTAAACCAGCCCTAAAATTGTCTTAATGAAGACGTGTGTAGTATCACCCATGCAAATTGAAACCTTATCGTAGGCTTAGCATTGCTCCTAGAATAAGCTTAGCCAACTTTCTCCACAGTCAGTTATTAAGGACTTTTATTGCTCTTGAAATGTGCATTGTTATACAGTGGTTACTACAGTGGTTGAAAACTCATACCGTGCACAGCGCTATCTAGGCTATCTAGCAAATGTACAAACAATCCTCAGTTTATGTATAGATCAGCTTATCCTCGAATAACAGATCAGAGGTCGCGATATATTTATAATGCGTGACGACATTCTACATGTTGAGTATACCTTGACCTCGGCGCGTACATGAATTGTGTCACTCAAATTAATAAAAGAGCATTATTCTCGCCAATGTACGCATCTGTACCTCAGATGATGAATAGATCATCACCAAGCAATAACTACATTACGCTGAAGCTTGGCATATAAAGAACATCATCCTTACCTATAACCAAGGTCTATATATGCAAAGAACCATGCAGTATATTGCTTCTTGCAAGTCGCCTTGGTTAAACATCACTGAGCTGGACTAACGAGAGTCTAACGTGTCAAGCAAGCGGAATGATATACAACTACAATACGGGCGATTTAAGGAGTCCGAACTGGAAACGGAACCGCGTGAGAAATATTGAATACTATTGGATTAACACACAGCAGGAGGATTGCCGAAAATATTTTCCAGGGGGAGTTCCGCATGCATTATATCTTATGATACCATCAGTACATCATGACCACGAGAATTAAACTACACTTGACCTGCAAAATGCAAGTCAAACAAATATAACTTCGAAATACATTCTTTTTTAATATAATAGACGGTTGAGCTCACAATTCATAGCCGGATTTGACAATTTCCTCATAACAGATTTCACAATTTCCATAGTTTTATTTTACGTGCCACTCTAACATGCTGTTCATTTATTATAAGGATTAAGTGCTCCTTCAATGTCATTGAACAAAAACAAGGCAATTCCTGTGTTGCATTCATCGAGTTTTGGAAAGCTTTAGGATTGCAGGTGCATATGGGACTTCAAAGTTTGATACTCAAGCGTTGGCTGGTGCCGCATGTGTGTGGAGTATACAGAACGATCACACGAACGATGCAAAACAACTAGTTGAACTGCCCTGGCTGAATACCTTTCATGGATATCAGCAGCGATTGATATGTTTCGATGTATTGTGTTACTCACTGTGCATATAGACTGGCCCCTAATCTATAATTCTATATGCACCATGTATATTATACTATACTTAAAATAACGTACTTAAATAAGACACAAAATTACATCACATAGGTATAATTGCATATAATTCAGATAATCATCACCAAGGATACAAGTTTTATTAAAACTTTGTTTTCCGGTAACCGCAAAGTTGATTACATTTCGAAATGGATGCATTTCAGTGGTCTCCTTCACACACCCTTCTTAGCTGAGCTTACCTCTCTTGTGGGCTTATGCACTTTCTATTAGCGATTTCAGAGATTTGACCACAAACTCTTCACAATCTATATGATGCTGAGTTGCCGACAGTGTTAAGATGCCTCATCTACACATGAAATACCCTCCCCCCTGAAAAATATTGTCGCCAGTGTGCCGGCCGCCCAAGTTTCGGTTTGCTGAATTGCTGTTATCTGTATCCCTTTTCAGCGGATATCAATATTGTTGTGAATCGAAAGCGACACGATAAACTCTCAAGAGGTGCGACACGTGTTCCGGAACAATTGAACACGTGTTGAAACCATTTCGAAATCGTTCGTGCATGAAAAATCAGTTCAGATAAACGTATTGTCGGTATTGAGTTTATCCTGTTTGAATTGCACCGAATTCGCATGGTCACAAGTCACAACATCAAAATTAGCCATGTCAAAGCGAGTTTTCACCCGAAATTATGATAGCATGCATATGATTGCTTGGTCTGACAGATAAAAAAAATTCTGCGGACAAAGATACCGTTAACAACTGATGTGAATCTGATATAATGTAAACGGGCCTAAATTTTCAAATGATATCGGGGTCGATGTGTGGACAGTATAAATAGAATGCGCTATATATAGCATAACAGTTTTGGTGATGCACACGGTGTATATGACATAGGAGTTAAGGACCATTTATACTTGTTCCTGCGCTCTTCCTCTAATATATGGAATTATACAAAAGAGGCGGGCGGAATGTTATGGATGCTTTGATGTATAAGTGCCACAAAATGAGCATTTTAATTCATCCACTTTTTACCATCAAACTAAAGAAAATTAGGAGAAGAATTAAAAAACCTATGGTTGTATGTATGCATGCTTTGCAGATTGAATGCCTGGAAGATTGAAATTTCCCGTGCGAAGATTGAAATACGCGCATTTGAGAAAAGCTGCTCTAAACTTTTTGCATCATTGTAATATATTATGTAAAACATTAAAACACAATGATATTGAAAAAAAGAGCAATACAGCCAACGAGTCTCATACCGGTATGGCTCAGGGATAAGCCATGGCTTTACCCGCAGAATGAAAAACGTGGCACGACTTCTTTGCTGTAGGCACATTTTTGTGTTTTAAAGTGAACTGCAGGCATGCGTTCAGGACACAAAATGTAATTCATTGTAAAAATTAAGACTACCTTAAAATAATTTTAGTGCTATTTTACAGTTGTATATATATAATTATATATATATATATATATATATATATATATATATATATATATATTAAAAGTCGTTATCAAAAAGGTTGTCATAT